TCTGCAAGAAGACAACCAAGCCCAGAAGGCACCAAGGACCTCAACAGTTCAATCCTGAGCTACATTCTCTTCTATGAGAAGAACTCATGACCACACCAAGAATCAAATTAATTTTTTTTCCAAACACGTACTCATCCACTTCCTGATGGAACAGCTAATAGAAAAGCCACGTATCTTGACCAAATGATTACAATACAGTATTAACTTCCCAAAAAACCCAAAGGGTAGCAAAGAAATAATATCCCATAGATTCAATTTAATACAGACTTCCAAATTCTATTTTTGAACCCCAAACTACGACTACATCTTCTTACGGGCAATCGAGATTTATGGAGATTTTACGCTGGTGGAAAAGGGTGGTTTTTGTAAAGCTTGACATATGACCGAGAGAAAATGGTATGAATAAAAAAAAATTGGTTTGCGGCTCTCATTTTCCAGTCACTGGTTTTCAATATGTTATTTCTATTTTGTGCAATGTCACCGGAGGGAATGGCTTCCCAACAGACAGCTGATGGTGCTTTCTTTCATCTGGACACCTCGTGTATTTTTCCTATTTATTTGACATTGAAGGTGCAGCCCGATAACTGCCTGCCTGCCTGCCTGCCTGCCTGCCTGCCTATTATTATTATTATTATTATTATTATTATTATTATTATTATTATTATTATTATTATTATGAATCATCGCACAGTCAGCCAGATGTTCAGACTGGATTTGGCATTTTGTCTACCTATCCCAGTGGTGGCGAACCTTTTAGAGACCAAGTGCCCAAAACCTGGTCCCACCCCTGCCCCGCCCCAACTCTGCCCCCACCCCGCCTGCCCACAGGGCCACTCACCGCCTCCAGGCTCCGTCGCAGATCACCCAGCAGCGCCATGGCGGCCATACCCTCTGCCCGCGCCCCGCAGCATCAATTGTGCGCGATGGGGTGTGAGGGCAGAGTCTTGTCTACGCTGCCTGGCTGCCATGTCCTTAGTGGGCTACGCTCAGGGGCGACTCTCCTCCAGGAAAGCTGCTGGTGAGGAGGGGGTCGTGGGGGGAGGCAAGGCTGGGGCAACGGCACGTGTGCCCACAGAGAGGGCTCAGAGTGCCGCCTCTGGCACCCGTGCCATAGGTTCGCCACCACTGACCTATCGAGTCCTTACCCAGGACCTGGGATAGGCAGATGTGGATGTTTGATGGTATTACAGATATCGTCGCAGGATGGAAGCGGTTCCCAGTAAGGCTGCCTTTTGCAATTGACTAATATCATTATTATTATTATTATTATTATTATTATTATTATTATTATTCCCTCCCCGCAAAGATGCACGTCAGTGGGTACATCAAGAGTGAGGCTTTACGGGTATTGAAAATCAAGAAAGACAAAATGCAGCAGTTTAGAGAACACAAATTACAGGTAGTCCTCAACTTGTAACAGTTCCATTAGTGAGCATTTGAAGTTACAACGGCACTGAAAAGAGTGACTTATGACCGCTTTTCACACTTGCGACCGTTGCAGCGTCCCCGTGGTCGTGAGATCAAAATTCAAATGCTTGGCAACGGGTTCATATTTATGACGGTTGCAGCGTCCCGGGGTCATGGGATCCCTTTTGTGACATTCTGACAAGCAAAAGTCAACGGGGGAAGCTGGATTCACTTAACAACCGTGGGACTAACTTAACCGCTGCAGTGATTCACTGTAGCAAGAAAGGTAATAATAATAATAATAATAATAATAATAATAATAATAATAATAATAATAATAATAATAATAATAATAATAATAATAATAATAATAAAGTTGGAAGGGACCTTGGAGGTCATCTAGCCCAACCCCCTGCTCAGGCAGGAAACCCTATGCCATTTCAGACAAATGGCTGTCCAGTCTCTTCTTAAAAACTTCCAGTGTTGGAGCATTCACCGCTTCTGGAGGCAGGTTGTTCCACTGGTTAATTGTTCTAACTGTCAGGAAGTTTCTCCTTAGTTCTAGGTTGCTTCTCTCCTTGATAAAATGGGTCAGAACTAACTTAATTGTCTCGCTTAGCAATGGAAATTTTGAGCTCCATTATGGCCGTTAAGTCGAGGACTACCTGTAGCTAATGCCAATTCTGTTGAGCCCGAGCCAAAGTGATGGTCTTAAACATTGTAAATGACCCTGGACCTGATTATATAAAGAAGAAGCTTCCGTTGAGGTTCATATGACAAACATATGGCATAAGCTCTTTTGAGTGAGTCTTCTACCATTTCTCCTGGGCGCTCACTTTATCTTGATTATTTTTAAGAATAGGGAAGTCAGGTGTAATATAACGGCGACTCACAGTTATATTCTTAACCACAGTTAAGGAGGCCAAGGGGCATGAAGACAAAAGTCTCGGCGTGATGGAGGAAAATTGAAGCCTACTAAATGTAAGACAGATAAATGATCCTCCTTTTGATATCACCCTTTCACTTCTAAGTAAATTTTTTCACAGGCAGAAATTCAGGACCGCTCCCAGTAATCATAATACTGTGTATTAAGCCAGCTGTCCACAATCTTTTGAGAACCAGGGACCGGTTCCACGGAAAAACTTGTTTTCCACAGAACCAGCTTCAGGTGCACATGCCTGGGTGGCACAGCGTGAAAAACCCCGCATCTTCTGTGGAAATTTTTTTTTCCATGGACCAGGGGGGAATGGTTTCAAATGCTACCACACCCGGCACATGCACATGAAGCTGCGGACCCCTGCATTAAACTATAATTTGTGGGGGATTTTTCCATTTTCATTTTTCAATTTTTTTTTTCATTTTCATAAAACATATAAGGAACGGTTGCTGGAATTGGGTATCTCTAGTTTAATGAAGAGAAGGACGAGGGAGAACATGATAGCAGCGTTCCAATATCTCAGGGGCTGCCCCAAAGAAGAGGGAGTCAAGCTATTCTCCAAGGCACCTGAAGGAAGGAGAAGAAGCAACAGATGGAAACTAATCAAGGAGAGAAGCAACCTAGAACTAAGGAGAAACTTCCTGACAGTTAGAACAATTAACTAGTGGAACAACCTGCCTCCAGAAGCTGTGAATGCTCCAACACTGGAAGTCTTTAAGAGGAGACTGGACAGCCATTTGTCTGAAATGGTATAGGGTTTCCTGCCTGAGTAGGGGGTTGGACTAGATGACTTCCAAGGTCCCTCCCAACTTTATTATTATTATATTATATTATGTACAGCTACAGACATGTTCTCAGATTATGCAGCATCAACGGCTGTGTAACATTATTGATTCAATTATCCTAAGTTAGCCCTTGAGCAGGCGCAGAGTCAACCCCGTTGAGGTACGTAATAATCTTACCTTTGGCCAGTCTTTCCAGCCTCTTGCCATGCTCTGGAGGTATAGCATACCTGGCGAAGGAAAAAAAAAAAAAGCTCATCAGCAAAATTAAGCCCAGAATCTTTGCTTCCAAACTGATTCATTAGGGATCTGTTGGCAGAAGTTTGCTCTTTGCCCTTCACAACCCCACCAGTCAGGAGATTTCCCTTATCAAAACATCTCCTCCCTTCTCCATCCATTACTTCAAACACAAACAACAGAATAACACACTTGGAAGGAGATCTTCTAGTCTGCTTGAGCAGGGGGCTGGACTAGAAGACCTCTAAGGTCCCTTTCTATTCTATTCTATTCTATTCTATTCTATTCTATTCTATTCTATTCTATTCCATTCCATTCCATTCCAATCCTTATTCTATTTTCTATTGTATTTTCTATTGTATTCTATTCTAATTTTTATTCTATTTTCTATTCTATTCTATTCTATTCTATTTCTATTCTATTCTATTCTATTGAACACTATAGCAGTGTTCCAATATCTCAGGGGCTGCCCCAAAGAAGAGGGAGTCAAGCTATTTTCCAAAGCGCCTGAAGGCAGGACAAAAAGCAACGGATGGAAACTGATCAAGGAGAGAAGCAACCTAGAACTAAGGAGAAATTTCCTGACAGTGAGAACAATTAACCAGTGGAACAACCTGCCTCCAGAAGCAGTGAATGCTCCAACACTGAAAGTTTTTCTGAACTTGATTGTATCTGATGATGTTACCTAGTTTGGTCATGAAACGTCTGCAAGAAAATAAACAAGCTCAGAGAGAGGACCGGGCACCCCACACACAGGTGCTTGATAAGGAAAGCCCATTTGTGCACAGATAGTCTTTGCTTAGTGACCATTTGTTCAGCAACCATGATAGTGTTGCTGAGTGGATAGTAGTTACAACTGGTCCTCAAAGTCTCGGCTGTTGCAGCACCCTCACAGTCATGTGATCAAAGTTTGGGTGCTTGCAGACAGCGAAGGCGACAATTTCTACAGAGGCAGTGATTACCACACATGGTTTTCCAAATGCTAGTGGATTGTGTTTTCATCACTCTTCATGTCCACGCTTCCTCAGGAGGGTGGACCCAAATTTAGTTTATATAATAATAATAATAATAATAATAATAATAATAATAATAATAATAATAATAATAATAATAATAATAATAATAATAATAATAATAAATCTGTGCTAGATAGATCAGAGCTAAAAGGGAGGGTGGACTCTGCTCTAAACTCCCACGCTCAGAAAGCACCAAAGATAACCAGCTCCTCCTTCCCCTCGTCTCCTCAACCCCCACTCTCTTCTAGCACTGGTGATGTTACCTAGTTGGGTCATGAAACGTCTGCAAGAAAGCATTCTCAGAGAGCACCCACAGTTCAAACATTCTCTTCTATCAGTAAGTTCCTGTGTTTCCCATAGGAGAAGCCTCTTTCACTGACAGCTACAAAGGCTCTTGAAACAAAGCTTTTTTTTTTTAAAGGATATATATCCCAAAATTTCTATAGATCAAAGCGATGTTTTTCCTCTGAAATAGTCAGCAAGCTCCTGCTCTAATGTTAAGTGGGAGAGATCCAGAAAGAAAATATGGACCAAAAAAAAAAAAAAGGGAGTGCTGGAACATTACCTGTTCACCTCTCTCTCTGTTTTGTTTGCCTTGAATTTTAATTTTTTAAAGCCATTTTTCACTAACATAAAACAAAGCAATGAATAAATTAATTCAGATCCAAGCGCGCCTTCTGTTGGATTAGCGAGAAACGAGCTATCCTATTTCTTCTGGGAACGTGTTGAAAGTTTGGGGGCTCCTTCGTGGTTAGGAGGCAGTCAACGGTGAATGCCACTCTTTGGATTACCATGCTATTTTTTTTTACTTAATTACCGCCTGTCATTGGGAGTTAGACAGATAAGATTAATTGAATTGTGAGGCTGTTGAAGTTAATATTGTTGGGACGTGGCTACCCCGGGTTATCGTGGTTTGCAGAAGTACCTAACTGAATTCTGGAGAGATGTCGGCTTGGCTAGGAAGCCAGCAAACTGCATTAATGAGCTTAAAATCAGGAAAGGGAGGGGGGAAAAAAGAATTGCAGTCTTGCCAGTCATGTTAAGAACCGCCAGCATACTGTTGCTCATAAAAGGGGGGGGGACACTTATTACTTTCTTTCAAATTAATGAATTATGAATTCATTAGACCCAATCGGAGCTCAAGAAAAAAAGACAAATCCCAAGAAATTAATTCTAGCCCGCCAATAGAAGCAAAAACTACAAAGCTCTGGTTGAAAGATGCCAGGCAAAGGAAGACCCATCCTCCCCATCCCGGCCACGTTCAAACGGAAACGCCGGCGGCAGGAGACGCCACAAGTTTTGGCTGAACCACAAAGCAAAACTCCCAAGTCGCATCATCTCCTTTCCCCTTTCGGAAATATTGGGAGGCACAGAAAGGTCCCAGACCTTTGGCCAAAGGCCTTGTTGAAACCATAGAGGGCAGGTCGGGTCAATGGCGACAGCCAATGAACGGTGACTTTCATGACGGAAGACCGGAACGATCCTTCTCCTGTTCAGGAAATTAGGGAAGTCTTAATTATGCTCCCAGGCTTTGGGGACAAGGTGATCGTGGAGTCCTCTTTTTGTTGATTTTTCTCTTTGGTCAATTTACTCTTTTACTCTTTACTACTTTTACAAATAACTCAAGAAATCGAGCATAGCCAATACACCTTCCTTCCTTCCTTTCTCCTCCTCCTCCTCCTCCTCCTCCTCTTTTTCCCACAAGGTCATCCAGCCGGCGATCATGGCTAAAGTGGGACTTGAACTCACAGTCTCTTGCTTCCTAGGCTGGTGCCTTAACCACCAGACCAGGGGTCTTCAAACTTGGCCCTTTTATGACTTGTGGACTTCAACTCCCAGAATGCCTCAGCCAGGCATGCTGGCTGAGGAATTCTGGGAGTTGGTCCACAAGGCATAAAAAGGCCAAGTTTGAAGACCCCTGGAATAGAATAATAGACTAATGTATAGAGCAGGGATCTTCAAACTTGGCCCTTTTATGACTTGTGGACTTCAACTCCCAGAATGCCTCAGCCAGGCACGCTGGCTGAGGAATTCTGGGAGCTGAAGTCCACAAGTCACAAAAGGGCCACGTCTGAAGACCCCTGAGCTAGATGTCTCCCAGCGTCTGATGCACAGTGGCGGGTTATCTTCAAGCCTTACCAAAAAGGTACTGATTTCTTAAAAACCTATTTTTCCATCTAAAGGGAAAAAGAGGCCTCATGAATGAAAAACATCCATTCTTCAATATTGTGTGTGTGTGTGTGTGTGTGTGTGTAGCCAACGAACCCTGGAGAAAGACCTTGAGATTTGATTTGATTTTGATTTTGATTTTATTAAATTTATACCCCGCCCTTCTCCCGGAGGACTCAGGGCGGCTTACAGCCAGTTTAAAACAATGATACAGTACAATACAAAATTTAAAAAAGATTAAAAATAACTATTCAAATTTGGCCGCTTCTACTAAAAAATTTTAATTTAAAACCCCTTTAAAATACCCCTAGGCCAGTCCTGCCTGCTGAAATAACCAGGTCTTAAGGGCGCGGCGGAAGGAGGGGAGATCCGGGATCACCCGGATCTCTGGGGGCAGCTCGTTCCAGAGGGTG